GTAGGTGATCCAAGGCAAGTAAACCTTTGAGAGAGTATGCTACACGGTTCAATAAGGCAACCTTAGGTATAAAGGATATCCAGATGTCTTCGGTTGTTACGACCCTAGTCAACGGTCTTAGGATCAATAGGTTTAAAAATTTCTTGTTCAAAAGGCGACAGAGACGAAGATCGAGCTGTTGAGTCGAGAAGAGTACATAGGTTATGAGGAGGTATTGGGGGACTATCAGAGAACATTTTGAAGGGCGGGAGATTGTGATCACAAAGAGAAAAAACGTAAGGATCATCCTCCCAATCGATCAAAAAGAAATACCAAACTCAAGATTACAAGTATTAGCCTATGGATGTAACAATCTACACAATCTCATATACAATATTTGCTATGACCTTATTGCAAGTGCTTAATGATAGAATCTGTCTGTTCTCATTTCTTTCCTCTTTTTCTCTTCTGTCTCCCATTTCTTCTTTTGCATCCCGCTCTATCTGATAAGCTATGATGCTTAGACTCTTTAGTTTGAAAGAAGAATCAGTGTAAATAGTAGAGGTGTAGGATTTTGATCGATCGTTCGAATGAGAAGTGGACAAAGCAATATAACTTCCAAAAATTTAATGGTTGTGCAGAAGGGAAAGAGGGAGAGATGCGGACAAGGATGATAACGAGTATGAAGAGCGTTGCTTCATAAGTTATGCATATATATTAAAATTCTTCAAGTATATTGTATTGTTATTTTTAATAATTGTAAATTTTTGTTAATTAATATTTTTGAAAAATAGTGTGATTGTGTTCGAAGAATGTCTTTATAAAATATAATGCTCATTAAAAGCAAAAACATTATATACAAAATGTTGCAGCATGAAGCCCATATGAAAGAATTTATATTTCTGAAGAGGCCTAAATTCCATATATATTAATATTCTAGAAAAATATCATCATTCCTGATAACACAAAATATAAAAATATACTAGAAAATTATTAAATTGTTAACCCCAAAGATGCATGATTATGTAAAACATCAATATTCAAAAAAAAAAAAAAAAAGTTGCTTATACCAATATTCTAGAATAATATTGTATTGTTATATATTCTAAAAGGCATCATTTTATTCAAATCAATATGGTATAAGAATAATTTGTTATTGCTATTGCTCCTCAAGAAGCATAAATTGCTATTTCTAAATATTCTATAAGAATATTGCTTCATTGTTATCAAATAACAAAATTATACATATTAGTGTTTCAAGAAAAAAATATTAAGATAATACTCTTGAAGAATTATAAATTATTATTCTAATGTTTTGTTATTTCGATTCTTTTGAAAATGCAGGAAAATTGCTTTCATGTACAAAAAATAAAAAATTGTCGCGATTGTAAGTGGTAATTGGTAAATAAAGTTGATGGTATGTACATATAAATTGTCAATTTAAAAGAAACTTGGCATTCTTGCTTATGCTGGCCAAATATGAAAGTTTATTTCCAAAGTTGTCTTCTTTTAGAATCATGCTAATTTGTTTATAAGGAGTCATTTTTATTTTTATCTCCTTAACTTTCAAGATATATAAGTATTTGACGGGCTATTTCCCTAAATGGTCACTAAATTTTGCCTAAAGTTTCCACAGAGTCACTAAACTTTAGAACTTTCCACTTAGTCACTAAATTTTGCAATCTGGGATCCCATCGATCACTGAGTAAACGCCGTTTACAAAAATTGATGGATTTGATTACATATCTAACGGAATGGCTTGTCTAACACGTCATTATAATTATTGGATGCCAAATCACATAATTGCATCCGATGTGGAAAGTTGTTGTTTGCCAAAAACAATTTTCACCAGAAAAAATAAAATAAATAAATAAATTCAAAAATCAGATTTTTCAAAATAAAAATAAATCCCTCCTTTACTATTCATCATAAAAATCATAATCCTCCCATCACAACAACTCGACCACAAAATCCCATCCATTAAATTCAACAACCAGATGAAGAAAGCCCAGTTCTCAATTTCTCCGAAATATAATCTGTTAGGAATCAACTTGATAAATGAGTGAAAAAGAACAATGAATGCTGAATCACTTCGAGGAGATTCACCTACAAACACCTGTGATGGTGCAACTTGCCAGATAGATGCTTTTTTCATATATCTTCAAGGTTAAATACAAAACAAATGACCACAACTTCCAGTTCTCCACGTCTTCCTCTAACAGACTCTACTTCAGAAAAATAAGGAACATGACTACTGCACTACAGACTCTTCCTAAAAACTCGGACATGACTGTGGACTCAGTCAACTCTGGCATTTATTCCTACTATTGGACTGGGTTAAGCGTAACCCATTGGACTTCATTAACTAATGACCCAATACAATACTTAAAGGAATTAATAGAAAGACAGACTGACCCAATAACTGGAAGACAAACCAGCCCATAAGGCCACAGGTTCTTACATAATCAATCCAAATCTTTGTCAACAATAAAAAATTTACCCTTCGTTTGCAACAGTAGCAAACTAAGATTACCATCATAGTTTTCTATGACTGCAATGAAAATGGATTTTTTAGTGTCGGATGAGTCTTAAAGAAGATAGTTCCGCTGCCAAACACGGCCAGGCTTGTAATAAATCTGCTTTGACTTCACAAAATTTTCCAAATCGGATTTGATCTTGTTTTTCAAATCCAGGTGACCAACAATTATGTTGAAATTTGAACGATGATTGAATTGAATAGATCTCCTTTTACCATTACTGTTCATGTAGAGCTTCAATTTCTCTCTTCTCTGTTCAATATCATCGGAAATTGTATGTATATGTTGAAGATAAGGTTTCAAAATTCTCCTCTTATCCTTTTTTTTTTAATCTTTAACACAAAACTTCGATCAATTTTCACCCACATTTTGGGATTTCTTTTTTGGGTTGTCGCTCTCTGGTTTGGATTTTGTTAATTTGATTTTTGAATTATTATTATTATTATTATTATTTTGGTGAGAAAGGTGTTTGACAAACAACTTTTTTCCACGTAGGAAGCAACTATGTGATTTGGAGTCCAGTAAGTGGAATGATGCATCATGTAAGTCATTTGAATAGACACATCATCAAATTCGTCAACTTTTGAAAATGACGTTTACTCAGTAATTGATGGGAACCTAATTTACAGAGTTTGGTGATCTCATTTTTTTTTCAAGCTCCTTTTCAATTACACGGTCTTCTAATAAAATAATTTTCCATATAAATATAAAATTTTTTCCTACTTTTAACCTCACATTCTTCAAAAAATCACTATTGTAGGACTTATTTTAAGAAAAAGGCTCTCAAACACGCTTAGTATTCTTTTGATTTCAGGCACGGAGCCAGCACCCGACGAGGGGGCACGGCCGCACATGCTAGCTCCGCTGGAATCTACAAAGCCGCCGAGTAAGTACTTGCAGGCTGCAGTTGCGCCATTGGAGCTTGGAGGAGAAGAACTGAAGAGTGAAGAACAGAAGAAGGAAGACGAAGCCTGAAGCAGCACAGCAGCCGGGTTTTAATTTTTTTGGTTGGGTTTAGCTGTTTGGGCTTAAGTATATTAATTTTTGGGCTATTGACTATTGTTATTTAATTTATTTAGCCAAAGCTGCAGCCCAACCCAAATGAATTTAGCCAACCCGGCAACCCGTACCCGGTACCCATGTCCCATAACCCATTTTATTTGCCCTTTTTCATTTCATTCGACCCTCCCAGCCACCCAGCCCCAACTCCGTCTCCAGACTCCAAGCCAGCAGAAGATGAGAGGCAGGTCAGGCAGCAGGCACAGGTGCGCAGCTCCTAGAATTTCGAATTTTCCCCAAAATTACCGAACCCTTTTCCTCAATCTCCCTTCTTCTTGCTCCAAATTCACACCACAGAGTCACAGACTTCAGGTTCAGGCATCAAAATCTCGGACCGGTGAGTGATGATTCCTCCTTTCACTCTTAGTTATTATTATTTTTTTTTTGGGTTTTGGTGTTGAACTGTTGAATGTTGAATTGTTGATGATGACTGTGCCGTGACTGTCGTCTGTGCGTCTATGCGAGTGTGCGAGTGCGACTGTGCTTGTGCCGGCTGTGACAGTGCGAGTCTACGAGAGCGAGACAGTGAGAGTGAGACTGTGAGAGGCGAATGTGACAATGTCAATGGGAATCATGGGATGGGGTTCACTGGTTCAGGGGTTGGAAACTTGGAATTATGAAGAATTGTGAATTGTGAATTTGTGAAGAATTTGTGATTTTGTGAATCTGTGATTTGTGAACTGTGAATTTGTGAAGAATTGTGAAGTATTGTGATTTGTGATTTTGTGAATTTGTGAAGAATTTGTGAATCTGTGGTGAACTGTGAAGTGATAAATGGAATTCTTGAATGGAAAAGTGAGAATTTGAAGACGGGAATAAAGAATTTTATAAAGAATTTGAAAACAAAAATGACACTCAGAATTAGAATTACCTTCTCATAAAGAATTTGACAGCAATTTAATGGAATTGGATCTTTGCGATAAATAATGTATTAGTCAAACATAAAGAATTTATCCATAATGCTATAAATGGAACAAAAACATGAAATTAAATGTATGGTCTGGTTCAAGACTTCCAGTAAGAAACTTGTTGACATTAGGTTTCAATCCCCGTGTTTGATGATGAGTAATTTATGTGAATTTATGTTTACGAAATTGTATTTGCGAATTGTGATTTATGATGAGTAATTTATGATTTGATGAGGGAATATGATATTAGGAATGATTATTGATTTGAGAATTTACGTTTAGGATGACATTTTGCAGATCATGGAACGATTTTTTCAACCAAAACGAAAGTCCATACCCATTTCTTCTACTTCTAGTTGTGGGTCTAGTCCCGCCACTGATTCTAGTCGAGAACAAGAGTTATTGAATAACACAAAGAAGTCTCGAGCTCAAATTGAATGTGGATGATCTTGTATCTGATCTAGGGAAACGCCCCCCTATCGAATTATATGATTCTAATATTAGAGATGTTGTTAGGATGTCATACTTGGAGAAGGGTCCTTGTCAACCATATGAACATGATTTCCCAAGAAGACCGATGGGGAATGATAATAGATGTTTTCGGAAAGAATGGTTCTCCGAATTTCATTGGTTGGAATACAGTATAGAAAAGGATGCGGCGTATTGTTTGCATTGCTACCTGTTCAAACCTGATAGAGGGAGTCAAGGGGGTGGACATATATTTACTAAGACCGGCTTTAGGGATTGGAAGCATAAAAAGACATTGAAAGATCATGTCGGTCTCTTTGATAGTTCTCATAATCAAGCTTTTGCAAAGTGTACCAACTTGATGAATCAAAAGCAAAGTATCTCTTACGTTATTTCTAGCCAAAGTAGTAGTCAACAACAAAGTTATAGGACCAGGTTGACTGCGGTGCTAGATTGTACTAGACTCCTCTTGATGTAAGGATTGTCATTTCGTGGTCATGATGAATCGGAAGAGTCTCTTAATAGAAGAAATCTGATTGAGGTATTGAACTGGTATGCAGCTCGTTGTAAGGAAATTAAAGAAGTATTATTTAGTAATGCTCCTGGAAATGACCAAATGACTTCACCAACCATCCAAAAGGATTTGATTAATTGTTGTGCTGTAGAGATGACAAGGGCTATTATCAATGAGATTGGTGATTCTTTGTTTTCAATTTTAGTTGATGAGACTCGCGATAATTCTATGAAAGAACAAATGGCAGTTGTTTTAAGGTTTGTTGATAAAAGTGGGCGAGTGAAGGAGCGTTTTTTGGGTATATCCCATGTCACTGATACTTGTGCCCAATCACTGAAGGATGCCATTGATGTAATGTTTTCTACACATGGGCTGAGTATATCTAGTCTGAGAGGTCAAGACTATGATGGAGCAAGTAATATGTCAGGTGAGTTCAATGGGTTAATAGCTTTAATTCTTAGAGAGAACTGGCATGCTATGTATGTTCATTGTTTCGCTTACCAGCTTCAGTTAGCAATTGTATCTGTGGCACGTAGGAATTGTATGGTTGGTGATTTTTTGGACGTACTTGCTATTATTGTGAATTTGGTTGGTGCATCATGTAAGCGTGTAGATGCTCTTCGAACAAGTTATCAAGCTAATATTCTGGAGAAACTTAATGCTGGGGAACTTACTGGTGGAAGTGGTCAGTTTCAAGAAATGAGTTTGGCACGCTCAGGTGATACTAGATGGGGCTTACATTTATTGACAGTTACTCGTTTCATTAATATGTTTAATGCTATTATAGATATTCTTGAGAATATATCAGAAGATGGCGTACACTCAGATAAAAAATCTTCGACCTTAAGACAGATGAACAATATGCAAGATTTTGAGTTTGTGTTCAGTCTTCACTTTATGTTTGAAATTCTTGCAATTACAGACGACCTTTCACAAGCCTTACAGAAAAAGGATCAGGATATTCAGAATGCTATGAGGTTATTGAATTTGTGTAAGTGTGCATTGCAGAACTTGAGAGAGAATGGTTGGGATACTTTATTCAGTAGGGTGATTGAGTTTTGTGTTGATAGACATATTTTAGTGCCTAATATGGAGGATATTGTAGTGGTGAAAGGTCGACCTAGGCGTGTAGCTCAACAGGTGACTTATTTTCATCGCTTTTATGTTGATTTGTATTGTCATGTGATAGACTCAATCTTGCAAGCGTTGAATGATCAATTTCCAGAAACAACTACTGAGCTCTTTACTTGCATTTCATGTTTAAGTCCAAGAGATTCATTTGCAGCTTTTGATAAGGATAAATTGCTACGTTTTGCTCAATTCTATCCTTTGGACTTCAATAGTGAAGAACTTTTATTAATTAGACCTCAACTTGATAAGTTTCTTTTGCTTGTGAGAATGGACGAAACTTTCTTTAATCTCAATAGTATATCCTGTGTAGCTCAGAAGTTGATTGAAACTAGAAGTTTCTGTTATTTTCCATTGGTTTATAGGCTGCTCACCTTGGCTTTGATATTACCTGTGGCAACTGCAAGTGTTGAAAGGGTATTTTCTGCTATGAATCTAATCAAGAGTGATTTGCGCAACAAAATGGGTGATATCTGGTTGAATGACAATTTGGTGGTTTACGTGGAGAAATCTATTTTTAAACAAATTGAGAATGAGGCAATATTGCAACGTTTTCAAATTATGAGACCCCGTAGAATACAGTTGTCTAAGTTTAGAGTTACAGAGTAACTGAGTAAGGTTGTATCGTATTTTTTTTTTTTACTATTTTGGGTTGTATCGAAATATATTTTCATATGTATACGATTTTGACGTTTTAGTTCATTTACATATATATTGAATAACTTTTAATATTATGTAACCAAATTTTAATAAACGATCGAACAATTACGATTGTCGACAGTCAACGATCGTCGGTCAACGGTCAAACCGCCCTAGCTGAACTTGAATCCTGGATTCGCCACTGTTTGATTTCATTCATTCTTAAAATATCTGAGCATATTTTGCTTACAATGTTGTTCAAGGCGGAGATTCTATAAATATGTACATGCAAGTCTAAACATTAGCAAAAAATAATGTGTGATATCGTTCAAATGTTTTTAAATGCTCTAAAAGAGCAATTATTATTTTACTAAATGATACAAAATTGATTATCGTCAATTCTATTTTAAGCATTCATATGCCTTCTTCTTCTTTTTTTCTTTTTTCTTTTTTTTTTCTTTTTTTCTTTTTCCTTCATTTGTACTATAAATACAATTAAAGTAAATACTATATTTTAAACCAAAAGTTCAAATGTCCTTAATATTTTATTATTTGACATGATCGATTAGATTGTTTTGGTTCAATAACGATGCAAGAATTATTGAGAATTCAAATGTATATTAATGAATAACCAAAAGATTCTTTCATGAATTCTCACAAAATGTTATTTTTTTGGGCAAATATGTTTGACAAGCAATTAACAAGTCAACATGAATAAATATTTTAAAATAATTTAATACAGCTAATAGAAAAATCCATTAAATATTTTATATTGCTAGATTTAATAAAATTACTCTAATTGGTATTAATAATAATATTGAAATTTATACCACAGCAATATTAGAAAATGAAAGTAAAATTATCTCATACGAGCGCAACTAATCTCTTCTAGCCTAAAACACCTCCTTTCGATGAGCTTGAGATCCTTGTGAAGCTGCTCAAACCTTCTCCTAGAATTATCAAACTAAACACTGATGGATGCTTAAAATGCTCCAAACTAGCTGCTAGGGGAAGGGTTTTAAGACATGCCGAGGACTGAGCAACAGTTGAGATTTGATGGAGGAGTAGGTGAACGCGGAAATCTTTGGTCACGAATTCGATTCTTCCTACCAACACTTTCTCGGTTGAGCATGTTGTATATAACTTGCCTAGTGCGGTTTACCTGACTAGTGTAGTTTGCAGACTATTGTGTCAGTCCGAAAATTTATCCAGTGCGCACCTGAATGGTAGTGACCGCGGATTCCCCCGTAAAAAATAAAATAAAATAAATGAGATTTGATAAGGGTGTGGGTTGAAATTGATTCCAAAAATTTCTTGATGTCAATTCTATATCGAGTTGGTTTATATGTTATAAGTAGAGTAATATTTCTGATTGCATGTAGAAGTGTACGCGGTCTGATTCGATCCGATACTAAAAAGAATCGAATCAAACCAAAGTATCAATGAGAATTTTAGAAATGGAACCATTGATTTCATATCCAACCATAGAAATGAACTGAAACCGAACTAATTTGTTTTGATTCGGTCTAATCCGATTCTTTATATTAAAAAATTATAAAAATAAAGTATGAAACTATTTGTCAAATAAAAAAAAAAGTATATAACCACTTATCATTCTTGTAATTTGATCATACAAAAAATCAATTAAACAAGACAATAAACAAAAATCTACTACAAAGTTCAAGATTGGCTCATAAAGGCCAAAAAAGGATAAACTATTAAACACAACACAAATGGTAAAATTTCGATCAAAAACTAATTCTTAAAAAATACATAACAATAATTTGATTACCTGTGCAAATCTTCTTGGATCTTGATTCTTGATGGTCAATCACTTTAAAAACAATGAAAATTTTGAATTCTTATGAAACATTGAACAACTAAAAATATATTTTTCTTATTGGATTGTATCAAAGCTATAGATTTGAAACGTATTTATGAAAGTACTTACACTTTAATTTTAATTACCCATTAAAGGAAAGAAGAAGAATGCATGGTAAATAAAATTTTAACTTGACATAATTTTGGAGTTTAGTGTTCAAAGATCTAATGCACCTTGGTGCAAATAAAAAGAGAAATTTGGAAGAATCGAATTCACTATTTGTTCTCAAGGTAGAATCGAAAATTGATATGTTCTCGATATATGGTCTCAAAATCGACCCATTTAGTAAAGGAATCGAAATCGAAATCGAAATCGAAATCGAATCGGTTGATCACAGTCTGATTTCATCGGTTCCAAAAAAAATGTCCACCGCTAATTTCATGCATTACTTTGTATTATTTCTTAGGATTAATACTCCTTTATTTCCTTTATGCTTTAATCCCTTGTCTATCTCCCCTTATATCTGTTATCCATTTGTAAGGTAAGATACGTGAACCTTCCTCCTCTCTGCTCATAGTATATCATTTTGGAAAAATGCCTAATGTACAGGCCCTCACATGCTGTGTCAGGGGTGGGGGATTATTTAAAAAAAAAAAATTACCCACCCCCTTGTAATGTGTTTGGCCTGTAGGCCCTAGCATTGTTCATCATTTTGTCAACAATAAAATGAAATCTCATGCTTGGATTTTCGAGAAGACATATTTTTGTTAAAGAAATAAAAATAATACTTTTAAAATGTAAACAATTTACTTTCTAAAATAAAAATAAGAAATCAAATATAATCATTTATATAGCAGCATAAGGAAACAGTGTAAAATGGAAATTATATGTTAAAAAGGGGTGTTAAAAAGTAAAATTAGAAGTGAATATTAGAAAGGGTCAAAACTCGATGATTTGACGTGTTGAGAGAATTGTTCAAATTTCACTACACCGATTTTGAGTGGTTTTTAAACCATCCAAAATTTGGGGCAAAAAAAACTAGCAAATATTGATTTTTTCAACTCTTCATAAAAGGTCTCATCCAAAATCAGTGAAAATAAAACTCCCAAGCAAGCCCTAAGGAAATAGTGTAAAATGGAAATTTTATGCTAAGAGGGGATGATTTTGAAATTTTAGAAAAGAAAATAAAAATATCCATGTTATTTTTAATCTATTTTTACAATAAGTTTGACAATGTGATAGGTGTAAAGATCACTGTCATTAATTTTAAGAGTGATGCTACAGAGCTCGGGCTCCAATCCAGGGCCGAGGTGCTGTTGCCTCGACCCTTGATCTTTAATAGATGGGGCCCGCGCCATTTAACATTAAGGGCAAAGGTGTTGACATCTCAGCCTTTGGATTGGAGCTTGTGATTTAATTTCGGGTTCCGCAATTTTTCTGTGATTTTAAAAATATTTTTTCAAATTAATAAATATGATGTCTATTAGCTTATACATTGTCAAATTTATTATCAAATTAATTGTACAAATACCATCATGTGATTGTAAAACATGTAAAATTTCTCTTTAGAAAAACCAAATTTTTTTCCACATTATTCAAGTTCCATGTTGACACGTTCTTACAAAAATAAGTAAATAATAAATGATTAAATAATCACAGTTCACTGACCAGCGGCAGCGGCTCTTCCTCGTTATTCAGAGGTGTTGACACCCATTTTTATGGAAAATTGAATTTTAGAAGAGGGAGAATGTATGGATGAAAAATGAAGCAATTTTTTAAATTTAAATGTGTGATTAAATAGAAAACAGAAAAAAATGGATTTTGAAAAAGAATGAGAATGACCCAGCGTTTCACTGCCTATCACGACGTTCAGATTTCTCTCTGTCTCCGCCAATCTGTCCGACTGTGTTTTGTATTACTGAGTGTTTGCGTTAGATCTCTGAGTTTCCGGTCATCTATTTATTTCATGTTCTATATCAAGGCAAGAATTGACTTTTGATACGAAGAATAAAGAAGAAAATGGCGGTTGGAACGTCCAGAAAAATATCAGCAGCCTCAGCAAGGGCTCACACCAGAAAACCAAAGCAAAAGGCTTCCGTTGCAGGATTTTCAGGTCATATTTTTCTCGATTCAATTAATACACAATCAGTTGTTGTGGTATCAAATACTGAGGTACATGAATGACATGGGAAAACGTTGGAGAATTTTATTCAGATAATGGACCTTTTGAATTAATGACTTGTAAATAAGAAAACTGATATAAATATAAGGCACATTAGATTTGGATAGAGTAGATGTGAAAGTGATTGAAACTATGTTGCTGCTTATCTTCTTATTTGTATTCTGTGTATAATTAACCTGATGCCCATTAATCAGTATTCAATTGATTGTTATATAAACATGAATTTTCTAGCTGTTCCGTGAACTAAATTCTTAGAGAAAATTTTCTAAATTCTTGATCCTGTTTACTAGATTTACCGTCTGTTATTTTTCCATCTTATTGTGTTAGGACTGTTATTTATTTGTAAGTCGATGTTGTATTAGTTAATTTGATATTGAAGGAAAAGTGATTATTTCCAAAATAAAATTCCGAGTAGCTTTCAATTTCGATTTAAAGTTTTGAGTGATCAAGTAAGTGTTGGTGCATTAAGATACCGTGTGCTGGGCAAAGTAAGCAATTTTGTTGAAAACTGAAATATATGGACTTTTGGTTAAAGTTGTTTGCATTTGATGTGCAGCTATCAAAAGGTTTGATTCAATAAATGTATTCAAAGTTCATGGTTAATACGTGATTAACTATTGAATCAACCTCTAACTTCCTCCAATTAAAACACCTATACCCCCAACTCATTTCTGTTGGAACTAAAACATTTCAGGGTTGTTCAAGAAAATTCTACTGGTTTCCTTCATCGGGCTTTTGGCATGGGCTTATCAGGCTACCCGGCCTCCTCCTCCCAAAACATGTGGCTCGCCAGATGGACCTCCCATTACAGCTTCCAGAATACAACTTAACGATGGGAGACACTTGGCTTACAAAGAATATGGCGTCCCAAAGGATGAAGTGAAGTATAAAATAATCTTCATCCATGGTTTTGATTGTTGCAGACATGATGTTTCTGTTATAACCTCAAACCTCTCCCCGGTAACAGCCTTTTTTCTTGTGTTGTTACATTGATTTCTGAGGGTCAATGTTTTTATGTTGAATTTCGTGCCAGGATCTTGTTGAAAGTCAAGGAATCCGTATTGTTTCATTCGACAGAGCTGGTTATGGGGAAAGTGATCCTAACCCGAAACAAACAGTTAAGAGTACTGCTTTTGACATTGAGGAGCTTGCTGATAAGTTGGGATTGGGATCCAAATTCTATCTTGTTGGATTTTCTATGGGTGGACAGCTGGTATGGACCTGCCTTAAGTATATCCCTCACAGGTATAATATATCTCAATTATAACTATTGGGGTTTCACAGAAGCATAGAACACGTTTGACTAAAAATAAGAAAATATTTCTTTCTTTCTTTTTTTCCGAATATGTTGAGTCATGTTACTTTTCTTACTTTGAAAAAAAGTTACTTATTTTGAAAGAAACTCTTACCCTGTTGTGAAAATAGGTAGTGATTCCCAACTTTGACTTGTAAAAAGAAGTATTTGTGTAGAACTTAATTATAAGTAATTATGGTTAAAACTAACCACCCCAACAAAATTTCCGTTTCAATATAAAATAGAAGTTCATGCATTACATAAATAATCATGCTTAGACGTGGAGGACTATTGTTATGCCTCATAATCCGTATCTCCCAGTGGAAGCCACGTGGAGATATTTGACAGTTAACGAAGACCCAATTGGTCAACATAAAGAAGCTTGTTGCCGATGCACTATCTCATTGTTTCAAAGCTCTTCTGTCGAAACATCATCTGATTGTTCTAAAGTCCTTTCGTTGAAGCACTATCTCCCTCGTTCGAGGCTCTTTTTTTTAAGTTGAGGCACCTACTTTCTTTCAAGGAATCTGCAGAGTATCTTTAGGAATGATTGATGTAACATTTATATTAATGAATGCTAGAATTGTCAACTTAGGGTGTAGGCGGCTAACCCATTGTCAATGTATCAAACGTATGACAGAAAGTGATGTGAGACCTCGATTAATGAGATGATGTCACGTGATTCTGATCCAATGGCTATCACATTGGCTCAAACTCTATAAATAGCAACTCTTGTAACATTTTAAGTGGACGACATTTTACATGCTAAAAATCCATTTAAACTTCCCCTCTCAAATATTCGTGGGTTCAATCTAGTTTTATGTTCCTTTTCAAGTTATCCATAGTCTTTAGTTTGTATATATAACCATTTATGATAATATTGTCGGTGCTCGAATGTTTTCGTCTTGTGTCGTAAAGCATCTCCCACGTACAGAACTATTGCATATCTTCGATCAAATTTCAAGTCAAAACGTGGAAATTTGCTTGTATGGACACGAGTGGGTTGGACATCTGTTGTTCACGTGTTCATTACTGAAAACGGATTCAACAGATTGGCATTGTATGCAGAAAAACACGCACTAAAGCACGAAAATTCGATGGAGAAAGGTCCAGGAGAAAGACACTCTTGGGGGAATTTTCTTGCCTTTGAAGAAAATGAGGTGTTCTAGAAGAAAGAATCACCAAGAACTCCAAGAGAAACCTTTTTTTTTTTTTTTTTTTTTTGAATTCTTCATATGAAAACTTTTTTTTTTTTTTTTTTTTTTTTTTTGAAGTCGGGTGCATTCCTTGAATAAAGGAATATCGTTTAGTGTCAAGAAGCCCGAAAAGAAGCGTTACCACGAGTTCAAATAATGAAGAGTCTACGCCTTGTAGGAATAGGGAACACCTTGAAGAAGGGGAATTCAGTTATGCTACTCCATCGGCTCGCTACCAATTTCACTAGCTACAAGCGAGGTGGATCGAGAAGTCCAGAATAGCTCCTAGACTCACCAAGAAAGTTGCCACCATGGTTGCAAACATGTGGGACATAACTCGGCAAAACATTGCCATGCATAAGCTACTAAGGAGAGTGCAGGCCAGGGAGGATACCTAGTTTCTCCATATGCAACTCAAGGAAATGCATTCCTACACGAATTATCACAAGGAAACTACTATCATGGTGAGGAGGAGGTTCAAAGCTTAATGACTGATTACTACACTACGCGAGGGAGGAAGCCCTTCAAGAAAGCGTAGTTGGGGTTGACACATCTCCCATGCCACTGATCGACCCAATGAGGTCCCATTTAACTTTCCCCCAAACTACGGCCCAGAAGACATGCCTCAGAGGTCCGTAAGCGTCTTTGACAGGTTGAGCCCCATACTGCCTAGAATTAGGCAGGCCCAACCTCCTACACCTAGAGATAGTAGCAGAGACCACCTCGGTTTGAAATACAAAACGAACCTGTTTATGACAATATGCCTTGGCATCTTCCGCCTAGAAATAAGCGTGAAAGGAGGGCAGAACAGGCCAGGAACCATGCGGGACCATCTCAACTGCCTCAGGTAACTCAAGGCAAAGAAGATGAAGATTTTGATGAACCACAAAGCTCTTGTGATCTTAATGATGATGATGATGACAACCTGCCATTTTCTTAAGGGATTAGAGACGCCTAGTCCTAAGCCACGTAGTGCTTCCAAAGATTCCCAAATATGATGGAAGAGGTGATCCTGCGAAGCACCTTAACAGCTTCAAAACCACATGAGCCTAAGGGGCTTCACTCCTACTATGAAATGCAGAGCTTCTTACTTGGCCCTAAAGGAAGCAGCTGAAGTATGGTATACTAGACTCCCAGAAGGAAGCATCCGAAGTTGGCTAAACTTAAATAAGGCTTTTCTTAAGCGCTTCGCTACTAGCAAAGAAGGCGAAGAGCTAATATAGCGCCTGTAAAACATGAGGCAACAACAGGGAGAGCGTCGAAAAACTTCTTGTCTCGTTTCACTGATGAAATGCCCTATTGTGTGCAAGTTACCAACAGGGAGGCACTGTCAGCTATAAGAGGAGGGTTGTATATGAATTCTCTTCTAGAGAGATGTACAAAACGAGGACTCTACCAGCTATGGCACCTGGTGGAAATGAGAAGGCGTGAAATTATCAATGAAGAATTGAAAGACCATTGAAATAGGGTCACTCGAGAACTCCCACCTCCTCAAATGCAACGAGGAAGGGGTCCCACCTCCCACTTGATTGATCACAGGCCAGACAGTCGACCTCCCTCAATCTTGGGCAAGCGCTAGTTGTAACAACATTAAATGCAGTACTTGCTTTGGCATACAAGGAAGTGAACCTAACATGGAAATGTACTAAAGAGGACCAAATCAACGATTTCTTTAAATAGGAAAAGGTAGAGGACGAAGCGCTGAACCTAGAAATAGGAACGAATCGCCCCTCTATTGTACCTACCACCACTCCTATAGCCACAGTAGTGCTGATTGCAGGGGTATCGCAGTGCACGCCCATACCAACAATCGAATGAGGAACAAGCACCTCCGAAGAGACATACCTCTCCCGAAGCACGATCAACAGCTTAGGAGTGATGAGACAAGGCGCCCCATTAGGAAGATGCCCCTTGAAGGCAGGAAAATGATAAGGAAAGACCCAAGGAAGGCCAAAGGCAGAGGAGGAGCCCCTCAACCAATGATGATGGTAGTGAACCTTTTCGAGAAATTGACATAATTTTTGGAGGCCCATATGTTAAGGGAGAGACCAGAAATGCCCAAAGAAACTATGTAGTGGAGGCCAAGGACCTCCCAATGGCGAGTTTCGTAGTCAATAACAGCCGACCCTCAACTAAAAGAAGGGTTCAACTTGTCACCTTCACATAAGACGACGCTATTGGTGTGCACTATCCACATTACTACGCCCTAGTAGTATGGGTTATTGTAGCGCGAAAAGGCCTCAAAAGGATGTTGGTGGAAAATGGAAGCTCAGTCAACATCATATTTGGAGCCTTCAATAAAATGGAAGTTGATCATAAGCTGACCCCAATGAACTCCCCTTTGTATGGTTTCACTGGCGATAACATCGTCCCAAGAGGGAAAATCACTCAAGGAACAGGGATGGGGATGACACCATTAACTGCTCATCATTTTATGGAATTCTTGGTGGTTGACAATCCTTCTGCCTATCACGAAATATTTGGGAGGCCTGCACTGAAGGACTTATGGGCTGCCACGTCCATTTACTACTTATGCATAAATTTCCCAACAGAAAATGGCATCACTACGGTCAGAGATGATCGAAGAAGTGTGAGAGAATGCTATTCAAACTCCTTTAGGAAGGCCAAACCAAGAGACGTGAATGTAATTCTAATGGATATTGACATGGACGACGACCTTGAACCTAAACAAGGGGAGGACATTGACATGATAGACACCTCTGAATAAGAGACTGTTTCTAAAGTACAATTAGTCCCTGAAGAAGGGAAAGTTCTTGACGAAGTGGCTAATCTTGATGAACTAGATCCCTTTGTAATTGATTGCGAACCTTAGACAGCCCTGTTGAAGAGCTGGAGAGTTTCACCATGGATTCTCGTGACCTCTTCAAATTATTGCGTGCCCGAAAAAACCTACCAGCAAAGGCTTGGGAAAAGTTGAAATGTTTCTTGTGTGACAGCTTAGATATCTTCGCATGGAAACACAAGGACATGGTTGGCGTTAATTTAAAGTTTAGTTGTCACTATTTAAAGATTGACCCCAAAGCTACCCCTCATCGGCAGAAAAGGAGGGCTCTCAACCCGGAAAGGTATGAGCACTGAAGGATGAAGTGAAGAAATTAATTGAGAATCGCTTCATTCGAGAATCAATCTATCCGAAGTGGGTATCAAACCGTCTTTGTCAAGAAACACAGTGGGAAGTGGAGGGCATGCATAGATTTTTTCAATCTTAATCAAGGTTACCCCAAGGACAATTTCCCACTTTCACGAATAGATCAGCTCGATTCTACTGTCAAACGCGAACTATTGAGCTTCATGGACGCCTGCTCAGGCTACAATAAAAAATGTCGGGGCCACTTATCAGAGACTTGTTAATAAGATGTTCGTCGACTTTATTGGAAGGATAATGGAGGTATGCGTGGATGATATGTTGCTGAAAAGCTTGAAAGTGGATGATCATGCCAAATGCCTTGACGAAAGCCTTTCGAATACTACGAAGGTATGAGATGAGACTTAATCCCCTCAAATGCGCATTCGGAGTTGTTTTAGGGAAATTCCTAGGCTACATGATCAATTAAAGAAGCATTAAGGCTAACCTTGAGGCTGAGGAGATCAAAGCTCCGATTGAAATGAGATCGCCTCAATAACCAAAGAGCTACAAAGCCTTACTAGATGCATAGCAGCCTTGAGTTGTTTCGTCTCTAAAGCAATAGACAAATGCCTTCCTTTGTTTAAGGTTCTGAAGGGAGGAATAAATTCCAATGGGTCTCCTGCGAAGTAGTCTTACAAGAGCTGAAGAAGCTCTTGGGGACTATGATGGTTAAAATTAACCACTCCAACAAAATTTTCATTTCAATATAAAATAGAAGTCAATGCATTACATAAATAATCACACTTAGTCTTGGGGGACTATTGTTACCCCTTATAATCCGAAGCCCGAAGTGGGAGCCACGTGGAGACATCTGACACTCAGCGAAGACCCAATTGGTCAACATAAAGAAGCTAGTTGCCAAGGCATTATTTCATTGTTTTGAAGCTCCTCTGCCGAAGCACTATATGATTGTTTCGAAGCCTTTTCGTCGAAGCACTATCTCCCACATTTGAAGCCCTCTTTTAAGCTGAGACACCTACTATCTTTCAAGGAATTTGCGGAGTATCTCTAGGAATGATTGATTTAATATTTCTATTAACGAATATCAGAATTGTCAACTTAGGGTGTAGGGCGGCTAACCCGTTATCAATATATATCACATATGGCAGAAAGTGATGTGAGGCCTCGATTAATGAGATGAGGCTACGTAGTTCTGATCCAATGGCTACCACGCCGGCCTAACTCTATAAATAGCAATTATTGTAAGATTTTAAGGGAACGATATTTTACATGCTAAAAATCCATTTAAACTTCCCCTCTCAAATATTTGTGTGTTCAATCTAGATTTGTGTTCATTTTCAAGTTATCCATAGTCTTTGGTTTATACATAGCCCCCGTTTGAGCCCCATTATAATGATTTTTTTTTTTTTTTACTCATTTCATTTTCCTATAGTAATTGGCTGACAACACGTGATATTACACATGATTTTTGTCAGCGATGGACAGGGAAAGAATAGTGCCGTGGAGCCTAAAGGACTAAATTGCTCTAGGATGCATTGGAAATGTACATCTTTGCCCTCCACTATTTTTAATTCCCCCAATATTCAACAATCAATTGAAAAGGGTAGAAACGGAAAGAAAAGAATCTTCTTACTCAATTGACAACATTTTCGCAAGTGACCTCAATTTTTGTAAGGGATGCTGTCCTTGTTGTCTGACATGGGGCCCACGTTTTTTTGAAAAAATGTCGGAAAAATTTGGCAAGAATGGGAGCCAAACACATGCATAATCATTTTTGATAATACTGTCCGTGCTCGAATGTTTTCATCTCATGTCGTGAAGCACCTCACACGTACAGAACTATTGCATATCTCCAACTGAATTTCAAGCCAAAATGTGCCGTAATTTGCTTGTGTAGATGTGAGTGGGCCCAACGTCTGTTGTCCACGTGTCCATTATGGAAAATGAAGTCGACAAGTAACTTTTTAAGCTAAGCCAACATGCCAACAAAGTAGTGAAACCATTTTATATGCACCATTACTCTGCTTGGTTATACTTCTCTTCAAATGCGAGCCTTAATTTTGTTCATCTCACCTAATTTTGACTGTGATCTTGAACAGATTGGCTGGAGCAGCTCTTTTAACACCAGTCGTCAATTATTGGTGGCCTGGTTTACCTTCAAACTTGACCAAAGAAGCTTATGATCAGCAGCCTCCACAGGATCAATGGGCGGTCCGGGTTTCTCACTACATGCCATGGCTTACCCACTGGTGGAACACTCAAAAGTTATTTCCGGGTTCAAGTCTTATATATCACAACCCAGCAATTATCTCCAACCCAGACAGAGAACTTATGCCGAGAATTCAATCTATACGGAAGGAGTATCGGGTAATTATGATGTATATACTTTGATGCATATTGTTGGGCTATATAATGATGAACATCATGCTAATTCCCCTATCATTATTACATCTAAGAAATAATTTTAATGAATAAAAGAAATCATATTTTAATGGTATTTTGCCATAAAGTATCTCTTTTCAAAATAAGTTGATTTTGAAATTATTATGTTTGTTCAATGAATACGTGTCTAAATGTATTTTTGAAATTCCTGTAAACTGTTGTATGAGACTTGTGTTTTATAGCATTAGCCCTTTTTTTTTTTTTTGGGTGGGGGGTTTTGTTGGGGGGGGGATATATTAGAAGTATGGGTATCATCTATGCTTGTATTTCTTACAATGTTGTTTGTGGATAAAAATTACTAAGAGATGCCATTAGTAGCTGTATATGGTTGACTAAATTGGAAAAAAAAAAAAAAAGGAAAAATAAGGAAGCAAATAATCTAAGAAGAGATTAATAAATTACCACTGTTAAACATCGCGGAATTATTATTCAATATAAGTCCAAGAACATTTCCAACTCACTAACATTTGTTCCAAGTAAGGTTTTAATTAGTAATTACCGTTCTACTTTTGATTGTATAATTATTTTGAGCTTTAAACAGCAGGTGAATGTTGAAAATTGTCGAACTAGAGAAATTTATCGATTTTCTATATAAATCACAAGTATTACTTTTGACGGTTGAATGCATGTTAAATGGTAGAATAGTCATCATCATACATCTTTCCTAGGTCCGCATTATCAAATATTATTGTTCACTTGTGGAAATTTCATTGTGCCGGATGAGTTCATCTTTGGATTTATTTGTACTTACTATTACGTAAAAATATGATTGTATTACATAATTAAATATGCATTTTAGGACATAATACTTGAATTGCAGTATACATAAGATTATCATTGTATCAGCTACGCGACCTGATACGTCTCTACTCCAACATTAGACGCCTCTATTTTTGGCTCATGTTTATAAACATTGTATAAACACTTAAGCCATTGATACATTTCGAGGGGAACGACAAGTACCACCCACTTATATACAACTCATTTCTATCTATTTATAATTTAAACTATTTATATACACTTTCCAAACATCCTGAGTTGTAATAAATGAGTATCATAAGATACTGTATTAGCTATGGATTTTTACTCCTTGACCCTTGCATCATACATAGATCACTTATTCCATCTCTCAAGAAATTATAATTATTGCTATTGCTCTTGCCTGTGTTTTACTTTTCTCTTCATTCTTTTTCATTAAAAAATAATAGAATGCAGTTTGATGTGAAGTAGTTATTGGCTGCTATTTTCTGATCTGCTGCAGCATTTTAGGTAAAATGATAGGGGCAGAAACCTAAAATTGCATTCGTACAAGGGAATGGGCTGATGAGAATGAGTTGGAAATTGGATTAGTAAGTCTGTTCCAAGTCCCTTGTTTTGTATAATAGATTCCCACAAACAACTTTCCCATTCGACTTCCCATTGTCAAAATCGCGGGATTTCCCACTCAACTTCCCCAAACAGCCCTCCAAAAAAAGGATTAGACCAGCCATTCCCTGATACCCGGTGAACCCCCAAACAAAACCAAAAATGACAAGACTGCCATGCTTTTCTGCAGTTATTTTCCTTACTGCCTTTGCTCTTTACACGGGCAACAATTTTCTGCCATGAACTCTCTCGGTAGTGTTTCTACTCCAGATTCTTTGATCTAATTTTCAAACAAAGAATGAGCAAGAGATGTTTACAACATACGAAACTTTATGCAATTTAACATGCATTCTAGTCAAGATCACGTGAAGCAAAGTCTTTAATCACAGCAACTATGATGCCTCAAATTTCTTTCTAGGTGCAATACATATTTTTTTAACCACCCTCTTAGCTGTTTGTATATGCATTTTCTAGTGAATTCAACAAGTTTTACTCCCTCAATTTTGCATGTGTTTACGAGATATGTATGCAAGGGGGCTGTGCTTCATATATCCTGTATTCTGTACTTTGCCTTATATGTTCTGCATGTAATCCAAAAGCAACGTGTGTGACGCATTTTTATAGTACTCTGGTCGTTTTCTTTTGCAACTTTTCTTATTCAATTTTAACTCCAGCCATTTTCTTTTCCAAAACTAACATTTTCCACGAATTTTTACTTTTCTGACATGGCCAGGCACAGGTGAGACAGCAAGGAGATTTTGTATCCCTTCACCGTGATTTGATGATTGGATTTGGGACCTGGGAATTTGATCCTACAGGCCTGGAGAACCCATTTTCAGAAAGTGAAGGTTCGGTTCACCTATGGCAGGGAGACGATGATAAACTTGTCCTCGTGACACCACAACGTTACATTGCTCAGAAGCTGCCATGGATTCAGTATCATGAGCTACCAGGCGCTGGACACATGTTTCCATATGCGGATGGAATGGCCGACTTGATCATCAAAACACTTTTAGCTGGATAGACGCGCCTTTTTCGAGTTATGTCGGGTTTACATTTCAGCACTTGTTCTGGCGCATCAGCTCGGGTTTTGTAATATCATATATTGACATTTGAGCTCCTTTTCATGTTATAAAAAATTTTCTTCAAGACATAATGTTTCGACTAGATATTGTACAAATACTAAAATTTTTATTTTGAATTAATCTGTGATGGAAGTGACGGCGAGCCCAATTCAAGAGCAATACTGGTTGCGAATTTGGTGGCCAAAATTATGAGCATTGAGGCTACTTTCACATTTTATAAAGTGACTTGAAAACGTCTTTATAAGTTTGGATAATTCCTCACTTGAGACCTGCTGAGTACAAGAGATATAGATTATCAAGAAATCGGAGGACTGTGAACCGTGCTTATGGTGGAGTGTTGTCTGGAGGTGCTGTAAGGGAAAGGATCATTAGAGCTTTCTTGGTGGAAGAACAAAAAATTGTGAAGAAGGTTTTGAAGATTCAGAAGGCCAAGGAAAAGCTATCTGCTAAGAGCTGAAGAGTGAGTCATGTGCCAATATAGTTTTGGATACTATTAGTCAAGATTATTGGAATTGTATTCTGAGGCTTCCATGCTTAAATTATGTTTGCTTCTTAGATTTTATCAAATGACTGTGTTCTTCAGTTTGTCGAAAATTCTCATATTTGGTTTTGGTTTCCCTGCCTTTCCATAACATCTTAAACTTCGTTTGGATTTACTCGTGTAATCCTTGATTTTTCCCTGACTGATTCTGAGTTATTATTAATTAGCTACTTCTTCTGGTGAAAAATAAAAAATAAAAAAAAATGGTTGCTGATTTTCTCAACTTCGTGGCCTATCTTTGAACCAAAATTTGAGAAACTATCTTTGCCTTAATACACTTCCGTTTGGTGATCAAAATCTGAAATAAGAAGCTCTATTATGTAGTTCGTTATCTTTTAACAAAAATTGTGTTCGACATGACACGTATAGTTTCGTTTTTTTTTTATGTTTTTTTATGCATTTAATTTTTTTTTATTTTTTTATTTTTTTTGGAACTAGTTTCAACCTTATTTTTACAATATTCATAATTTATATTTATTTATTATCCACACATTTTGAAAGATTTGCAAATCTTTTTTCAATATAATTCTATAATAATTTTATCCAACCAAACACTTATTTATTGTCTTTTGAGGATGCAAAATTTTTGAAGAGAATCCCTGTTTGAGGCCAATGTTGTAAGAATGTGAAGACAGACTTGAAGTACCTCTTCAAGAAAAGATTTTTTTACGAGTGCACAAAGAAAGATAAGATACCTTTAATGCTTCTCAATTACGCATATGACGACCAATGCTCTTTATCTGATGCAATTTTTCATATTTTCCTTTTGCCCCTCACTTGACACTCAAATTTTTTTAATTTCTATGGTATCCTTTTGTTATTTAGTAATTTAACTTTATTTTAGTTAGGTTATTATTTTTATTAACACTTATAAACAAGTAATAAATAATAACTAATGAATAATATAAAATTACTCATTAAAATTCCAAAAAAAAAAAATTACAAATTTGATAATTAGAAATTAAGTGATTTTTTTTTTAATTTTTATATTGTGATGTTAAATATAATATTTTTTAATTTTGGTATTAAGAGTAATGATTTTCAAAATTTATTAATAAATATAATATTTTAGTTAATTAAATTGATTTATTTTAGTAAAGTTAGTAGTAATATAATTTGTAATTAAATAATTTTTGGAATTACAAATTACAAATAAGGAAACATTGTTCTCTTGGTGTATTGAGTTGCAGACTAATCCCCTGTTTTGAGCCCCATTTTTATGTGGATTATTCTACATATATATCAGGGTTTACATCTTGATGTACATAATGTTCAAGTGACATTTCATCATTGGTTAATAGAAAAGCTATTTTTCATCCATAAAATGTCACTTGGCCATTATGTACACCACCCAAGTGTACCTATAGCATAATTCTTTTTATGTTATCATGAGTTTTGTAATAGTGATTTTTTTTAAAATTATATGGTTAAAAAATAAGGAAGAGTTTTGAATATAAACGCAAAATCTTTTATTAAAAGAATACGTGGTTAAAAATGAGTTTTTGGATAATGGGGCTCAAAGAAGAGCTAAATTAGTTGGTGTGAAAATTGCATAAAACCACAATTTTAGTGTGAAAGATGCACACTTTTAGTGTGATGGATTGGAGATGGCCTTAATAAAGTTATATGAATCAAAATTTAAAGTTGAAAGCAATTACATTTAATACTGGGTAGCACCCCATCCAAATAAGGTGGTCGATCTAGGGATTGTATGGATGTAGAAATCGATCGAGAATGTTTAACAACTTTATGAGCTAGTGCCATGATAGCATGTAGAGCTTTACCAATGACTCTAAGAAACGATGCGAGGGAGTGGTATGCTTCATTGGCCCCATGGTCTGTTACTTCATTCATCGATTTTGTAAGCAAATTTGCCACCTATTTCTCAAGGAGCGCCCGAAAGAGAAAAAAAATGGAGATCGGGCTTATGTAGGTGATCCAAAGCAAGTAAACCTTTGCTACACGGTTTAATAAGGCAACCTTACGTATAAAGGATATCCAAATGTCTTGGGTTTTCACGACCCTAGTCAACGGTCTTAGGATCAATAGGTTTAAGACTTTCATGTCCAAAAGGCTGATGGAATCGATTATCGAGCTGTTGAGGCGGGAAGAGTACATAGGTTATGAGGAGGTATTGGGGGACTATCAAAGAACTTTTTGAAGCGAGGGAGATTGTGATTGCAAAGAGAAAAAACACGAGGATCATCCTCCCAATCGATCAAAAAGAAATACCAATCTCAAGATTACAAGTATTAGCCTATGGATGTAACGATCTGCAATCTCATATACAATATTAGCTATGACCTTGTTGCAAGTGCTTAAGGAACTCGAAATTCTAAAAGAACTGAGAAAAGTCATTTTTTTGATTTCCAATAAGACCAAGGAGTGAAGGACACTTCAGCATGAGGTCGAGAGGCTACTAGCCCTGGGATGAAAGGCTGGGGTTTTCGAAATTTGAAGCAGCCATCATTATGGTGATCATACTGACTTGAGGTGATGATGCAAGAGTAATCCTGACACGGACATGGTGATGATTGAAGGAAACTCAATAGGTGAAACGAGAGAAATACCCGACTGAGGTCCATGATCCATGATTGTGTAGTCGTGAACAATAATACATAGGGTCGTGTTATATGTAACCCGGCGCCGTGTACTCGTGAACAATTATACATAGGGTCGTGCTATATGTACTAGGGCATTGACACACCCGGTTACACGCCCCTCACAATAGGGGGCTCGTACATTTTTTTTTTTTTATTCAGCTTGAGCCCCCTTCTTGTGAAGGGCGTGTCAATACCCGGGTACGAATAACAAAATTCTAATACATATAGTTCATAGGTCTAATGATGCTAGGTAGCACACCATCCAAATAAGGTGGTCGATCTAGTGATCGTATGGATGGAGAGATCGATCAAGGATGTGACAACTTTTTGAGCTAGTGCCAGCTGGCACCTTGCCACATCCTCAAACCTTTTGGACTCTACAAATAGATCTCCCTCCAAATTATTCATTCAAACACTAAATCAAACCACCCTTACAAAACCTCTCATCTTAAGAACAATCTTTAATCTTCATCTTTGCCACCCTCAAACATTGCACCACCACCTAAAATTGTTTAGCAAATTATCAACAATTATTTTCTAAAACAAGAAACTGAAACGTCTTTAGATTTAGCTAGTGATGTCATAATGTACCAAGTCAATCCAAGCAATTTATATAAATAAAAATTGAATAAGAAACTAACACAACAATAAATTCGACTCTTAAACTACCTGGTCAATCCCTATTGGGTACTATCTATCTAGTCCATTCGGAACAGGCCTAATTGCCATCAAACAGCAAAGAAATGTAACGTGCCAAACTGTTACACAACTCGACTGAGCACAACTGGTTCAATCCAATTGACACCATTAAATCTAGTCGAGCTGAGTTTTAAACGAGAAAGTTCTCTTAATATTTGTACATACTCAATTATTGTACACTTGGAAATACGGTATGACCCAGGTCCCTACTATAATTTTTTGCCAAAATAATTAACAATTCAGTTAAACTTACAATGTGACCATGATGGAAAATACGTCCAACGCCACGACAAATTAATCCAAGCTAATGAATAAGATTCCTACCTTATCCAATGTCCTCTTTTCCCAGACCCAGAAGGCCAGAGAAGTCAAGAAAAAAGGCTCACTTGAACCAGATAAGAAAAAGAAAAACAGTAAATCTATTAGCATACGATTTTTTTTTTTTTTTTTGGAAAATAAATTTTTTTTTTAACTTTCACTTGTTTTTACATATATGTTTTTAATTTCTTTAATCAAATCCTCAATCTTTAATTATTTGATGATAGTTTCATCCAAAAGAATTTGTTACAGGGACGTCAAAAAAAATTTTGCACTCATATTTCTAAACAAAATAAAAACAACAGACATAAAAGTTCAACAAAATACTTGCCCCTCATCTAACCAAATATTTGAAAAAAAAAAAAATCATAAGAAATAACTAGCTAGTTAATTGAGAATTAACGATAAAAATGGGTTAAAAGAAAGACAAAGACAAAAGTGTGAAAATGAACAAATGCGAGCCAGCCCACGCTCACATATGGGGCCAGTGACGGATCTAGGTGGTGGCGAGTTAGGGTGACTGCCGTAGCTAGATTCATCGGAACCACCTGGCGCCATTATATATATATATTTGGTTGGTAATAGATTAAAGTTTTAGATTATATTGCTGGTATTCATTTTATTTTCAAGTATTTGTTGTGGCTCACTTCATCAGACGCTGAATGTATATAGTGGAGGTCTCGAGTCCAAATTTTTTTACCAACAAACTATTGTGCAATAATATTTAAATACAACAATTTTTGCCAAAATTCAAGAGAGTGGGGGACCAAATAAAAATTCGAACCCATGGCCTTTTGTTAGATATAGTATAAACTTCATCGCCATGACACCCATTGATTATTGACAATAAGTTTAACAAAATAATATTTGTTAGGTTCTATCTATTGTAATACGAGTGCAGTTATAAAGATTCAAATCCGTGTTCTTCCTTTAAAATATACAAAATTTGGCAACAATGTCATTAAATGAGTCCGTTTATTCTTATAACATAATTATATATGTTCAATTTGAACAAAATAATTGTTAAAATTTAAATTTTAGGCCTTATTTGATTCCTATTTTTTTTCAAATACATTTTTTATCTCTTTTTTCAACTACATATTTTTCAATAAAATAATATTACACGCAGATTCAATTTATTTTTTTAATTTTTAGCTACACATTCTCCATCAAATCATTATTACAAAATCCAACCCTTTTTTTTTTGCAAAAAATTGGTATCAAACGAACTCTTAATATTTTTTGCGGTCGGCGGTAAACAGTCAACGATCGCCCGTGCTTACTCAAACTCCTAGATTTGCCCTTGTATGGGACTAGCTGAACTGCCTGAACACAAGCTGACTTGTTTCCTATAATCTCGGTACGGCTCAACCATTGGTGGGCCGAGTCGAGTAGGATGGCCAATTTTTACTGAAGTTTACATTTTCACTTCTCGATTACGAGCCAGCTCACACATGAGCTCGAACCAATGCTTGCACGAGATTTTCATCACTCGACTCGTTTACGAAGAGAGCGGTTCACCCTACTTAATTCTCCATAAAAAATAAGAAAATCCATGTGAGACTCGGCCCGGCCCGGTCGAATAGATCCCCCCACTTTTTTATCTGCATGAAAAATGCAGCGAAGGACAGGTGTAAACCTTCGACGAGCCGAGGGCTACGTTAGAAGCCATAGCAAAGACACGTGTTCATGACGTGTGAACTCCATGCAAATATTCTTTTTCTTTTTTTTAGTTTTAACATTATTCTTCAACACTTTTTTCTTTTGTTAGTATGGGCAGCAGCTAAATTTTTTCTTAAACTTGGTGTCATTTTGACTTTATGCACGTCTGAAGGGCCCACCATTAACTCCCAACCCACCCTCCAAGAGCCAAGAACATCGTCTGCCCAAATACATTTGCAAGATTGGAGTTTAGGAATAGGACCCATCTTCTTCTTCTCAATTTTCAATATCATTATATTAATTTATATATATAGATATACATACATGTATAGCTGCATGTCATGTTATAGGGTTTACTCTTCATTTCATATATAAATACATATCAGTTGTCTCTATCTTTTGCTTTTCCTTCTCTATTGAATCTGGAGCTTGCTTTGAGAATTTCTTACCTGCTCTGGTGAACCCTAATAAGGTATAATCCATACGTACATTTTAAGTATTCTGTATTTGAAATACAATAAAAAAAGCTTTTTACACTATTTTTCTTTGTTAATATTGTTCAATACTGTCCAATTTTACTTACCTAACATGAATTGTGTTCTGTAAGTATTTTGTATAATGTATTTCTTGAAGCTGTGATCCATTTCCGGGTGTACTTAAAAAATTGTATATGATGAACATGTTTACTCAACTTATCCAGTCTGTTATGTTTTCCATATTGCAATTTATATGATTTTGAAGTCATTTATATAAGACAAATGATTATAGTCTATTCTATTTATGTATCTAGGATTCTAGGATATCAGTTCCTGAGAAAAGCACAATTAAAATGATGGATTGGGCAAATGATCACTCACAATACCCAACATTTTCAAGATTAATGCTTAAAATCGTCATGATGGAATAAGTTCTGGGTTTAATTATGAGATTGAAACAATTGAAATTTAGATGGATTTGTACGAATCAAAAGCCATAGAATTTGGAAATCGTCGTTGATCTAGTTGATAACATGTTATATATGTCTTCCCAGAGTTTGATTTATCAAAATTGTTCCTTTTACTCATAAATTTGACATACTTATTTGATAAATAATCGTGACCTTTATTTTAAGTCAATTAGACGCTCAATATCTTATAAATCTCAAGTAATTATAGCAAATACTCTCATAATTTTAGTGAAATACATATTAAGCGTTCAATTGACTTAAGTTAAAGATCACGATTATTTGTCAAATAAGTGTGTCAAATATATGAGTAGAAGGAACAATCCTGTTGATTTATTTATATAAAGAAATAAAATAAAACAGTTTAGAGAAGTTATGAGAACTTTCATTCTAGATGCTCTTCATTTCCCTCTTTTTTCATGGAAGATGAATAGATTTAGGTCTCAAATTTGTTAGTCATTTTTGAATTCAGAATTAAATTCATTTCGGAGAAAATCTTTAGTAAAATGTTGGCAAGACTAAAGGTTTAATCTGTTAGTAAAAGGGGCTATTTTGAAATTATAACTGTTTAGGTTGATGGTTTGAATCTCTTGTTTTACTTCTATTTATATGCATGAATCATATATTGGCGTAGCTAAGCTACTCTTAATACCATAGACAATATTTATCCATGGTTTAGTGAATCTATTTTCACATATGTAATTGCATATACTGATACTCTGCAGCTGAATCTCGAGTGCGAAGATATATAGAAGACTCAGATTACGAAAAACTCAAAATGGGAACCACAGATTCCGACATCATGTCCCAAGGAGAGGTGGAGTCGCTATTACAGTCAAGCGAACAGCAGTCGAATAATCAGTCATTTCCATCACTAGGCAGACAATTGTCTATATACTCTCTCACCCTCGATGAGTTTCAACACAAACTTTGTGATGAAAGTGGCAAGAACTTTGGTTCCATGAATATGGATGAATTTCTCAACAGCATATGGACTGCCGAAGAGAATCAAGCACAAGTAAATGCCCAGTTAGACACTGGAAACAGTCTCCAAGGGGCACAGTCTTTCCTACGTGAAAGTAATATTCCGACAGATAAGGGCATAGCTAAGCAACACAGCTTATCGAGACAAGGCTCTCTCACTATTCCAGAGCCTTTGTGCAGGAAAACAGTGGATGAAGTGTGGTCTGACATTCACAAGACTCAACAGCAGAAAAATAGTGACCATTATGTTCAGAATCCCGATTCTGCTCAGCGACAACCCACGTTTGGAGAGATGACATTAGAAGATTTTTTAGTTAAGGCGGGGGTCGCACGTGAGCAGGATCAAGCCCCAGCACCACCTCAGCAGCAGCCATATGGAATTTACCCAAATAACAACAATCATACAGTTGGACCTACTTTCGCTACTAGACCTGTAAGGAGTGTTGGTGGTGCTGCCGTCACCAACGTTGCAACTTATCAGACGCTTCCACATAGTAGCATCGGGGAGGTGGCAGGTTTCCCTGGGGAAATGACCCAAGTTCCTGTTTATACACAGCAACCATCGGCTGTGTACGGAGGAAGAATAGGAAATGGCAGTGGGGCAGGATACAGGCAAGGGCAGGTTCTCGGGATGGATTCACCTGTAAGTCCGGTTTCATCAGATGGATTATGTAAAAATCAGTTGGACAGTGGTAATCAGTATGGAGTGGATATGGGTGGTGCAAAAGGAGGGCGGAAGAGAGTCATAGACGGTCCGGTCGAGAAGGTGGTGGAGAGGCGACAGCGAAGGATGATAAAAAATCGTGAGTCTGCTGCACGATCTAGAGCAAGGAAGCAGGTATGTTTTCTAACTCATCAGTATATGGAAGTATTAGGAACATTCGAGAAGGTTTCTTTAATTGGCTTTCGACATTTATGTTGTTTTGGCAGGCTTACACGGTTGAACTGGAAGCCGAATTGAACCAGTTGAAAGAAGAGAACACACACCTAGAGATGGCTCTGGTAACTAAAAATTTTCAATCGAGTAGGCTTATTTTTATATTATAAAGTTGATTTATTTTAATCGATCATAATACATTTACTGGATCCTGGTTAATCACTATTATCCTTTATACTCTAAACAGGCTGAGCTAGAGAGGAAAAGAAAACAGCAGGTAAACGATCTTATTGTACTTTTTTTGTGTATTGTTACTTCGCAGCTAAGACCTAAATAAATTCATCCCCTTCTAATTCTTTAAGCCTTTGGATGAGGCAATTCATTTTGTCTCCAGTGAGAACCAGGATTTTGCAAATGCCGTCAACATGTACAAACTCAGAGTCCTGAGTTTTGACAATGATTACTGATTAACGTTTCTGTGCTTCTGTAACTTTGTACACAGCACTTTGAGGAAGCGATGATGAAAGCGCAGGTCCAAACCAAGGCCCACAAAGCTAATGAGAAATTAAGGGCGTTTAGAAGAGCCATGAGTTGCCATTACTGAAGCAAATCCGTTTTGTCTGCATCAGAAACTAAATGCTCGCTGCAAGCAGAGACGTAGGGCTGGATGAACTGTATAATGCCTTTCTCTTGTTCTCTGAAGACCAAAAATGAAAGCAAAACCAGTCCGTGGAACCATAGATACTTTAATAGTTGTAGTTTTCAATAATCTAGTCGTAGTATAGCTAGCCTTCTAGTTATAGTTGAAATACCATTTGGTTTTCGGTAATGTTGCGTGTTTTTGTATGTTTTCTGTACATTTCTATTTCTGTTTCAGCAACAAGAAATTAAGTTGAAGTTTGTAGTTTCAAGATCACTTGTATAATGGAACTTTTGCTTGCAATACAACACAAATTTGAAATCAAACACTTCTCTAGGCTTTTCAGAGGAACCTGTGAAAAAATTTACGATAATGATCCAGTGTTGATACCTGGAATGGTCATATGAAGAGGGAAATGGCTCTGATGGTAGAGGCATGGCTTATTGTAACTCCTCACAGCTTCAAGATATTTAATTCTTCTTGAAGTCTGATTGTTGGTGCTATGCTAATGAGACCTTTCTGCTCTGTATGGATTAATAATTGACTATCTGAAGAGCAAGCTCGGAACCAAGGGAAAAGACTTGTACTAAATTCCATTTCCAAATCTCGTCCTTCGACATCCATAAATACATAGATGTTTCTGATGAACACCCTGCGATTAATCCCAGTAAATTCCATTAAGCTGGACCTTTCAGAATCACATGTTGGATATTTGATGATGTAAATTCTTCTGGCTCCAAATCAAATGATAGAGTCGATTTGTCGTTCCAGCCAGAAAAAATTCCCCAATAAATAGCTCCGTTCACGCATAGAGGGTACCTATCAGCACATTTACTGCAAGGACAATCACCTATTCTTCTCCAAGAACCAGCACTGACGTCCTCGCCATCTCTAAAAGTAAAAACTTCACATCCCATAAGTTCCCCATCACCACGGGAGCATTGATCAAACAAATGCCTAGAAGGAATACAAACCCAATATTTTTAAATGATGTAGTATTTGGACGACATGGGACACGGACAACTTCATGGAAGCTCGGTGACAAACATAAAGAGAGTACATGCAGCACAAGATACTGAGCCAATCACAAGCAATGGGGGGTTATGAACAAGTCCATCAATGACTTCCTGAATTCATCTGTGATGTTTCCCTCTAAAAGTCTACAGGGGTCAGTTCAATAGTTGCTTTACTTTTACTCACTTCTCCATTTTCATTTGAAACTTATTTTCGGATCAGTAAAAGGGGGGTCTGCTTTGACCATTTGATGTGTTGGACAGTGAATTCCTATCGCGAGTCACTAAGTTGTGCCATTCTTTTGAAACACACGAGAACTTGCACAGAATCTTGACAGTCTGGAGAGTATTTCAATGTTCAGATCATGAGAGAAATCACTAGTTCCTTTGATTTTTCACCATATTGTTGCATCTCCTGTCCCCCTCGATGTGGTGCTTTCTGATCATTCTCCTGAATGCTGAAGATATCCATTGGATCCATCGCCATACTGTCAAAGAGGCTTCTTGTTCTATACAATTAAGAAGCAAGAGTATTATTATGAAATTTCCAAGAACTCTTGCTGAAACTTCCTATATGTTTAACTTTCAATAAAATCGAAAAGAATGCTTTAGACAAGGGTAGTAAGAAACAAAATGTGATCAAGGAAACTTACACTTTGTAATTGTAATACAGAAAGTGAACAAATTACGATAATTTCTCTCCAAAAAAGAAACAAATAAAATAGGCCTAGTTAGCACTTTACATAGATAACAAATAGATAGCTAAGCTAATTGTCCTGTTAGACTTTGAAGTCTTGGCATGCGATGGCCAATTCCTGATCTCTGATTGCTCTTTGATGTAAAAATTGCATCATTTGTTGATTCATAATAATTGAATTTCTTTAGTTGGCTCCGACATATTCCTACATTTCATTCACTGGAATCAAATTTATATATTTTCTCTTTTTCCTTTTAGTGTGATGTCAGGGTTGGGGGAGGGGGCACTCATACTTTCATCAACTTTAGTAACTTCACAATTACACAACCAAACTAATAGCTCAAATTTGAGCAAGACAAAATGCAATATCATTCCATGATATGTGAAAGAAAGTACTATAATGACATGTCTTAATTTCATTGTTGTCTGCATGCACATCCTAGCTGCTGTGAGAATCGGATAAAGTGAATAGATGATTTCCCAGTTAACAATAAGTTGTTTCCATGGCAGATGAAGTTAATAAAAGAAGGATTGGCTTGGAATTTCATAAGGTTTAATGGTTTATAATATTATTATTATTATTTTTCGTTCAAACAATCAACTACAAGTCTTCTTTTTCTAGCAACCATTGCAGCTATGTGCAGATAAGCGAATGCTTACCATTAAGTGCATGTTTGGTAAGTAATACTAGAAAATACTGTAAAAATAGTGAACAAGATTTTATCGTGGTGTACAATCCTCCATACCAAAAGTGTGCCGAGGAAGGTATTATCCGAATTCATTTTAGCAGGATAATAGGCATTTCCATGGTAATGATATGAATCACATGGTATGCTTCCACCAACTAAGCCCCTATTTAACAACCATTATTCCAAAACTCCTTTTTTATATACCCATTTTCAACCACGCATTCACAAAATAAAATATTGTACATGTAAACCCAAACATTTCCTTACTTATTAACTACACATTCTGCAAAAAATCATTATTTGAAACTCCATTTACGCAATTAATGTTCGTCATTGTTGATCTCGCTTTCAAAAGTGGTGTCATAAAAATCTCACTGCCGAAGTATGACAACAATTCCATAACAAACCATCTTATAATTATTATCCATGACATCCAATCCAATTCCTAATCCAATTTATGGTAACAGGCCTCACATGATGCAGTTGGTACAGATCGAGATACTCCAAGAGGCTCAACTCTGTTGTAGCAGTTCCAATGTGCCACCTGATCCCAGTCATCTACAGTGACAACAAAACACCAAATGTCCTTGAGTATTGCTGTGCGTGTAATGTTAGCATAAAGGGAACTTAGCTAGGTTGTCACTAGAAACAAACAAAAGTTAGCCTCCATCTAGCAAATTTATAAATAAGAATAGTAGTGGGTCTGACGAAACGTGTGGATAATAATAAATAGTATTTAAGTATGTGTGATTGAAATTAATATTTGACTTTAACCAAATTTATAAACCAATTTATAAATTGTATCCAAACGGAGGCTAGACTCCCAAAACTTAATAGTTAAGAAAGCATACTCGGTTGAACACTGGCGGTAGAGATGCCTAAAAATGAAACCAGCAGGCAGATCGGGGTTGCAAGTTGCAATAAGGATTTCACAGGCAAGGCAGCGTTGGATCATCTCCGTCTGTCATGTCCTTTGACAGGCATTATTAAAATTCTGTTTTGTCACTTCCGTGTTCCTATATTCTTCTCTGGAAATAGAAGTTCAACGGGAAAAATAACAAGATCAGCGAGAGTGTACCTAACAATCTTATTTGTCAAAATTAATGATGAGAATGGCATTAATTATGAAAATCACTGTCAACAAAATATGTGTCTGGAGAGCGGGACAGAGAGACATACAGACCATGGGACATATCGAAGAGATGACAGTAGTTCGCAACTTCCTACATACGAAGCAACCTCTTACCTGTGAAGTGCAAGTCACCAGGTGTGATTATCAAAGTAGCATCATAATACATGGGAAGTTGAAATCTGAGAACTTAACAAAACCAACGAATTAATGAATTTCAGAAATTTTGGCATTATTACATCACTGATGGGAATTGCATGGATATTTTCAGTTGGACGTATACTTCTATCGTCAACTTAATACCACTGAATCCTAATATAAATTCCCAGAAATAATAATGCAGTTCTAAGTAGATATTAAGTTATTAACTCATTATGATCAGATTCATTTACATTTTTAGCTGCCTTGTAATATAGTCAGCATAACAGGATGAGGTGACTCTTGATATTACATCTATCCTTTTATCTCGAATTTATATTTGGCTATTGGGTTTTTGGCATTACAATGGCAAAGGATTGTTCCGCATGTAGTTGACAATTATAGTGATTTTAATTTTTAATGTATGTTTTTCGATGTCAAAATATTAGTTAAAAAATTTGTGATGAGGAGTTGCAATCCATAGACAAGATCCACACTCACACATATACCTTCACTACTGATCCTCGTTCTCATCTCAAGCCAAGATGAAAGATTAAAAATCAAGAGTTCTATCAAGCACAATCAAGAAGGCATTTGAAAATTTTTCTTTTAAATTTAGCTCAGGAAACAAGTAGAATTTATTCATCACATCAATAGAAAGTCCTTAGCAATCCAAAAACAAAAAAATTCTGGATACATATACCATCCTAAAATTCTGGATACATTTACCATCTTTCCACACATACGGACAGTTGGAAAAGGAAAGACAAGTAGAAGAAGAACCAGGACTAAAAGCAGTTAGCTGGACTCCTAATATCATTCCTTTTCCCAATTTTCAACTCTTCCATCTATGACTTTCCTTACTTCATGGCTAATGGGGCTTTCCAACATTTCCAATACACTTTCTCCACTCATTACCAATCTTTTTCCCACGAAGAGGCTTTCATCTTATACAGTTACAAACTTACAGCATATCTTTACTCAAGGTGCAAGTAGTGTTTAACAAGGCAAAGGTGTAAGGGAAGGCGCTCCACATCTCACAGAGCAGGGCATACAGCACGAAGCATATGCATCATAAATTTTTTACTTTAAATATTTCATGAAATAAATCAATTACTAATAAAAAATAAATAAATAGATAAATAAAAATTGCTGACAAAACTATGGAAACTTATTGGGTAGAAATTGCAGAGAAGATTTGTGCAAGATTATAAGACATCTGAATACATACCAAACTGAAAGAATGCCACAGAGAAGTTATACACAAGGACTAGTTCAATTTAGTTTCTGAGAATAAACAGAGTGGTGCAGCAGCAGAATATAGGTCTTGTAAAAAGACAGGAAAAGCTCAAGATTCTTAGTAGAATAATTGAAGATATCAAATTCAGAGATTAAAAAGCAACCTAGCCCTCTTCTTATATAGGCAAAGAAGAAGTAAACGGAAAGAGAAAACATTCTATTTTTAAAATGAACTAGAAATCCTGTAATGAAACACTACTCCTAATTGAACTAGAAATTCTATCAAGAAAATAAAAAAAACTAACAAACTCCCAATAAATAGCAAAGCAAAAAATGCTACTTGCATTAAGAATACAATGTGCAGCGTCAAACGTCATATAGTTAACCGGTAGTTATTCCAAGTTCTCCTATCATAGCATCTAAATCAAGTCTCTATTTTCCAAAACCACGTCTATGTTCATCATTTCTAGACAGCAATCAGATAAAATGCATACCTTTACCTATGTCAGTACCTTCAGTTTTAAAATTTTAAATAAAACAGATTGCACTATGGTAATATCATTAAAGATTTGGCATATTTAACAAATATGTTCCCATGATAATTTATGTTAGATTAAGGACTTGCTATTTCCTTCATCTTTCTTTCTTTTCTTTTTTTTTCCTTCTTTCTTCTTTCTTTTTTTTTTTTCCTTGTGGACCTGATGCACTTAAATGGTAACTGTTAGTCTTGTAGCATTATTGATCGGGTAGTAAAATACTAATACTATCATCACAATCTGTTGATAAGTGAAACAGAGTGAGTTTGTTTAGTTGTTAAAATATTAATACTAATACTATCATCATAATCTGTTGGTGATAAGTGAAACCCTAGTTTATTTAGTAAAATGTTAATACTATCATCCTCATCTGTGGGTGATTAGTGAAAGTGCGAAACAGAGTGAGCTTGTTTAGTGGCTTTTATGTAATTTAAAAGCAAACTAAAGTAGGATTGGACCTTGAATATAAATATTAGTTTTATGGGTATAAACTCCAATTCCTCGGGCAGAGCCATGTAAAAGGCATGCCTCAATCCCCTGGGTGACAAGCCATAGGAAAAAGCTTCACCATGTGGGGCATAAGCTTTCTCCAAACACCCTGAGTCAATTTTGTTGTGCCTCACCCAGGCTGCACCAAAAAGCACCAATCAAAAAATTCTGAGTACAGTACTTCAGCTACAAGTAGATAAGCATCAGTCAAATGCAACATCTCGAAATTACATTTGTTTGCTGATTGCTAAATATACTGTACTAAAAATTTCAAAGAGGGTATGCCAAATATGTTCAATATTTCAGGATAATGTAACGCCATTTTGATAGACTGAAGAATAGATCATGGTTCTGAAGAAACAGTAAACAAATGAAATCAAGGATAACACCTAGCAAATGGATGAACATTCTCTACGTACGAAGAACGGGAGGCCAAAGCAATGCCAATCACCTGAGCGGGCAAATGAATATAAGCAATTTTCTGCTCCCCGTAGTTGACATGAAACAGACTTTAATTATACCTTGAGATGGAAATTGAAGAAAGAACAGTAACAGACTATGAAGAAAACCTTATCATTGGCTTACATTTGGAGGAAACAACATGCGGCCAATCAAGGTTCTGACATTTCTTGAACAATATATTCAATGTCATCAAAACTATCGTAAGCAGTTACATGTTTTTTCAATAGTTCAATGGCACTAGATTAAAGATTTGAGCTTCATTGCACTTAATTTGCCACAAAACAATGGCATTAAGCTCCATCCTTTACCAATATGATTGCTGGTACAGTTCGATTTCATCAAACAAAAGAATCTGTCATCAATTGATGGTAATGTAACTAAATTACCTCTCAACCTGAAAAGACGGGTATCCTCTCTTTTTTTTTGAAACAAAAGGACTGAATATTAAAATTATGCTTCATTACAGCACCTTCATACATAATCTTCAGCTTGCAAGGACTTGAAGTGATTAATTTGATAAAAGTTTATATTTCATGCCAGACAACAGAAATCTCCGTGTCTCAATATAAGAAGCACCTAATGTAAACCAATAAAAATGTAGAAGTGTAGCCTGAGAAAATCATACCAGAAATGGATCTTGGATTAATAAATGTTGACGGGTAATTCTCGAGCAAACTTGATAAATCCTAAATCTATTTGGTTCATAATCACGAATGCTGAAATGCATTACAGTGAATTATCAGATAATAGGGAAACAACCTCCTGAATCAGAGATCGATAGAATAAAATTCTTTAGAGAAACCACCTCGTAGAAAATAGATTGATCTACAGAGTGAGAGAAAGGTGGGAAGGAGCATATCAAGAAATTAGATATGAGATGAGTGCCATGACACAGACAAATTGTTTGAATCAATAGATGGAAAGACCCAGAAGTCCTACAGACTTGAGGTCCTTTACATTTAATTAAGCCCTTGAAGCGTAATAATTAGTATAAACCATCTCAATCTTTTGGGATTCATATCATTTGGCTCTGAACCTATAATTTTTGAATTCTTTTTTTGAAGCTAGAAAGCATTCTGTGCACCTCCCACCACATCCAAATATCCCCAGCAACCGCCGACTCCTACCGTCCTGGGCTTCATGACCGACAACCCTACCGGCCTCACGCCACAAAACCCTAGCCAAAACGCACCAGATCAACAGTTTGAGAAGAAAACCGGGCAACCATCATCCACCCACCCTCCGGCAATCCTTCGGCCACACGCTCCTTCGCGGCCGGTCGTGCAGGCCGTTCTGATGCCGGCCAGGCAGTGGCGCCGGTCTCGCGCTGATCTGGCCGAGCGTGTGCGGGCGGAACACGCGTCACAGCCAACGAGGCTGCTGATTCCTCCAGCAGCGACCAGTACACCCCTACATCCGGATTTATCATCTGATGCATCGTCTGATCAAAAGCAAGGAAAACTATTTCACGCAAATGGTATGGTCTACAATTCTAGATTTAGAATTGAGGCTAAAGAGTTCGTAGTGTTTGTCTACGAATCGGGCATTGTTAAGCTATCAGAATGGGGGGCAGATTTCAGATGCCATATGCATGGGGCCGTTTGGATGGTGAATATTGATGTAGCATAACATAAACATAGGAGCAATCACATGGAAGGAGAAGAGAGGGAAGTAGAAACCAGATAAAAGAAAGAGAAAGAAGTAGGAGAAGAAGAGAAGAGGAGGGGCGGTGGAAAAGGAGAGAATGCCCGCAACACTCCAATTTTCATTTCGTTTCCATCAATCTCTCTATCCATGCAACAGGCTGCATACATATATATAATATACAAAACAAAGAGATTGGGCTTGGGCCAGCCCAAACACTATACAAGCCCAAAGCAAAATAAAAAAGGCCTGGGCCAATACAAAAACATATTACAAGCCCAAATAAAATACTAAACTAAATAGTCCAAAGTTGATATTCTCATCAACTCTCCCGGAGCGGAAGAAAACTCGACTTTATCGAGAGAACAACTCACAAAAGGCTGCAATTAGTTGCCCAACCATAAGCTGAGTGGTTGGACAAACCTCTTTCGACGTCCATATACACGTGTGATAGGTGATCTGGGCAATGGGAGATCATGCTGACTCTTATAAAGCTCCAACAAGTCACGATCAAGCCGTTGGAGGGTCTCTCTAAATATCAATGTACAGTCAGAGTCAGGTCGGCCTACCCAATGAACAAGAAAGCGCTGAATTTCTCCATCATTAGTCAACATCATCTGTTCATCTAAAATAGTATCAATCTTTTCTTTGGGTATTGTGATAGGGGATGTTGAAGTAGGGGTAGCAACAGGTTCGGGTTGAGGGTCAACAAATGGGGGTAGAAAATGATCATTAGAGGGCTTAAAATGGCCTTTATAAGCAACTAAATCCTCAATATTGAAAGTAGAGTAGTAGCCAAAATGTGATGGAAGATCAATGACATACGCATTTGAACCAACACGCTTTAAAATTTTAAAAAGACCAGCGCTACGGGCTTGCAATTTGGAAGCAGATCCAGATGGACGCCGTTCCGGCCTAATTCGGATCATCACATAATCCCCAATATTAAATTCAACATGTCGTTTATGCAAATCAGCTCAAAGTTTATATGATGCATTATTTGCCTCTAATTGTTTATTGATCTCAATATGCAAGTCATGAAGATGTACAAATGCCTCAGCTAACACAGACACATTAGCATGTGGGGACATAGAGATAAGATCTAAAAGCTTCCTAGGTTTATAGCCATGAACTTCAAGAGGACTCATGCCTAAAGACCGATGCACAAAACTGTTATATGCAATTTGGGCTATCGGGAGGATTAAATCCCAGTTCCTCATATTTTCCTGAACTAGACATCTTAATCGGTTACCAAGACTGCGATTAACAGCTTCAATTTGACCATCGGTCTGAGGATAATATGCAGTGGAAAATTTCAACTTAGTGCCAACCATGTGCCATAAGGTTCTCCAGAAGTAGCTAGTGAACCGAACATCCCTATCCGACACAATGGTCTTAGGAAGACCATACAATTTAACAATCTCATTAAAGTACAGCCTAACAACCTTAGACGCATATGAAGTCTTGCTGCAAGGGCTAAAGCGGGCCATTTTCGAGAAACGATCCACTATAACAAAAATAGAATCATGTTTCTTTGGAGTACGTGGGAGTCTTAGTACAAAATCCATACTGACGTCTTGCCAAGGACAATTAGGGACGGGAAGAGGTGTGTAAAGACCAGTGTTTTGTCTCTTCTGTTTGGCCAACTGACAGAGTTACAAGCACTAACAATCTTAGCTACATCTGTCTTCAAACGAGGCCAATAAAATTGATGTTCAACCTCTTCGATTGTCTTATCACGTCCAAAATGCCTAGCCAGGCCTCCTGCATGACTTTCCCAAACTATAAAGTCTCGTATTGAAGTCCGAGGGGTGCACAATTTATTAGACCTAAAAAGATAACTATCCTCTAGACGAAAACCATCAATAGCATCAAATTGTCCACTTTGCAATGCAAGGAAAATGTCCTTGAAATCGGGATATGACTCATAATCTTCTTTGAGTCGTTCAAAACCTATGACCTTGACACTCATATTGGTTAAAAGTGAAATGCAGCAGCTTAAAGCATCTGCCGCTTGATTTTCACCGCCCTTTTTATGCTTCAAAACAAAAGAGTAGGCCTGCAAATACTCGATTCAACGACCATGCCTAGCATTCAATCTCTTTTGGGAATTAAGATAACGAAGTGCCTCATGGTCCGAATAAAAAATAAATTCCTGGGGTAACAAGTAATGACGTCAATAGCGTAAAGCTTGTACGACTGCATACAACTCCTTGTTACAAGTCGAGTACCGTCGTTTGGCATCATTTAATTTCTCACTGAAATAAGCAATAGGGTGGCGCTCTTGGCTCAAAACTCCACCTATCCCTACCCCAGAGGCATCACATTCTACCTCAAAAACTTTGAAAAAATTGAGAAGTCGCATGACTGGAGCTTCTGTCATTTGCCTCTTAACCAACTTAAATGCTTTGGCCGCTTCGTGTGACCAGTAAAATTCCCCTCTTTTCATGCACTCCATAATAGGAGTCATGATCATGCTAAACCCTTTAATGAAACGATAATGAAAGGTAGCTAAACCATGAAAACTCCAAACGTCATGTATAGTCTTGAGCTCAGGCCAACCAACAATGGCCTGAATCTTTGCAGGGT